AGATAAAACGTTGTACATCACACGTGCGTTTAAACATGACTAAAACTCGTGTGATTAGAACGACTCGGTCTACGACCTGGTCGTTCTAATCTTCAACACTCGTTACTGTAATCATGTTCATAAACGCACTTGTAATGTAAATAACTACTAATTTTTTTTTCATGAGTGTTTATGACCAAAACAACCCCATGTTTTTTCTCCATCATTTGAAAACCGCTAAAACAAATGTTATCAGAATCAGGGATTAAATTGAGAATAAAGAGACCTTTAAAACGACATATTACTCGATACCGCCTTCCATTTGAAAAAAAGTTTCAAAACTGCGCCCAGCTGTCACTTGTTTTTCAAAAAATGGAGAATTTGCTCAGATATCAATTCCGAATTTCGATGCAATATACCGAGCGGTTCAAAAGTTAGAGGGGGGGGGGGGGGGCGACGGACTTTATGTCCTCACTGTATATTCTTTATGATGTTCGTGTATCCTGAATCAACTCTACCGTTTTCTAAAAATTCTAATACTGCCCATATTGCTTTCTGTGCACTTCTCTATTATATTAGTGTTCTTATGGTATGTAGATGATCTGTGGTGCTAAAATGTTTTTTGAATCCAGCCTGTTCGACAGATTTTGGTAAACAGCTTGTAGAGGGGAGATGCTAAAGATATTGGTCAGTATTTTTCAATACTTGTATTGTCTTCCTTTTTGAATACTAAGATAACTTCGGAGTTATACCAATCTTGTGGGATCTTTCCTTCGTCAATTATTTTATTAAATTGAATCTTGAGTATATATGTTCTATTTTTCTGTCACCAATTTTCAACATCTCTACTGTAATTCTGTTCTCTCCTATTTATTTATATGGAGTTCGTTATTTCTGGTATTTCTTCTCTATGTAGAGTATAGTTCTTTCAGTTCGTTGTCGTTATGTGTGTGGCGAGTATAGCTTGATGTAGAATTCTCCTATGGCTTTGCTCATTTCCTTTTTGTCTTGGAAGGTCACGTTTTTCACGTTTTTTATTTTTATAATTCTTGTTCTGCCTCTTGAGTTTTTTGTTTTTAGTACTTTCATTTTGCATTTTTCACTTATTGGATCTTTTATTAGTTTGTTGGTATAGTTTCTATTATTGTCTCTACTAATTTTATTTTTCACTTCCTTGTTAAGAGTTTTTTAAATGTCTGTTGTTCGATCTGTCCTTTCTCGTCTTTCTTTGAGACGTTTCTTCAAGGTATTAGATTGAAGTTCAGATGTTTTTTGTTAGTCAAAAGGCATTAGCCCTACATAAATAAAACTGTCTGTGTCTGACAATCTCTCACTTACTTAATTCGGAAAGAAAGTATTCGCAATCCACAGTGGATAACGCGACGATAAAACAAATATTCTGTGCTTGAACTTTCTGAAGGTCTAATGCTGATAACAACAAAGATCAGTGACCGATATGATTACTGAATTAGCAGTTTTTGAAAAGTGCTTTGTTAGATTTTTACGATTCACATAATTTTTCATAAACTCTACTCGCCAAACATAAAGATTAAATTTTATTTACTGAAGAATTGCAGAGCATACCCACTATTGATCTTGAATGAAAGTTTCGAATCTTCTAACATTGTAATTGCCATTGATTGGTTAATAATTTCTCTTACTCGCTTTATTTCTCTAAAGCTGGGTACGCATATGAGCTTGAACGCGAATGAGGCAGCCCGAGGACGCATGAGCATACGTATGTGTACGTCTGAACGAGGCGTGCAAATTTGTTTGACCCCGCATGCATTTGGCCTCGACCCGATCCATTTGTTGGCAGTACATCAAAGTGAGGCATCTGCTCGTGCGCTGCTCATGTGTGCTCAGTGTGGATGGAAATTAAAAAAAAATCATTTCGAGGTCGAGGCAGTCCACGTGTTGTTTTGAGATGAAAGCGATTAAAAATTTAAAATCAATAACAACAAGAATGCTCACCACATATTTGTGGATCGATTCCGTACAACGCCTCGTGCGTCCACTATTCAGGTCACCCAAAAATTTATTTCTTCCCGAATCCGAGGCAAATGGTTCGGCCTCGGATTGCCTCATTCGCGTTCATGCTCATATGCATACCCAGCTTAATAGTTTTTAGTAAAAGTTGAAATGAAAATAATTGTTTTTTTTTTTACATTTTACTCCACAGTATGAAAACAGATTTCACCGATGAGTCTACTGTATATGTAGGACACAAAGTTGGTTCTCACTTCATTGTGCTTGTCAAGTCTGTTTTTAAATATGTTTTTATTTTCTGTATTCACTACACTTTCTGGGAGGCTGGTCTACGTGTTGACAACTCGGTTTGTGAGAGAGTGCCTTCTTTGGAGAAGATTGTATTTTTCTGTTTGTATCATTTCAGAGTGTCCTCTTGTTATGTTCGTATTCGGTATAGCAAAGGTGACTTCAAGGGCTTTATTATAGGTCTCCTCTCTCTCTTCTGTCCTTCAGGGCAGATAGATTGAACATCCGTAATCTGTCTTCATAAGGGGTGTTTTTGACTTCATTAGGGATTTTCGTGCATCTTCTTTGAGTTCGTTCTAGTAACTTTGATGTAGTATGGGTTCCTTATTGTATCACAGTACTGCAGCATTGGGCGAATGAAGAGGACACATAGTTTTTTCTTATGAATTCTACAGATTTGTCACCATTCGAGCTATACGGGTTTCCCATATCAGGCTTTCCGTCATTATCACTCACAGGTCTGTCTGTTCCGTGACTTCTCAGATCTCGGTATTGTTGATGCTGTATTCAATATGTGGGTTATTTCTTCCTATGTGAAGACTGGTACACTTGTCCGTATTTAGTATCATAGGCCAGCGCAGTATCCAAGTTCCTAAAGTTCATATGCCTGTGTAGTATAACATACCCGGGTTCGTTTAGCAAGATTGAACGGTGTGAATTTTTATTACTTTTTAAACAACAAATCTTCTGAAAAACGAAATGAAAAACAAATAGGACCTACGTTGTGGAAGCTTACTCAATTTTACTTACTGAACATGCGCCCGTCATAGCAAATTTAGGGAAATTTTAAGTGAGGTTGTGATATGTAAAATAAACGAAACATTTGTGGAACGTCTACTTTATTATTAAAGTAAATCGTATCGTTCTCGTCCTGGAATGCAAGAGGGGAAAGACCACAGCAGAAAAAACCCTCGATCTCAATTTCTCAAAAATCGAAACATTTTGTGTCGTTTTAATAATAATTCTGAGTCAATAATCAATAATCAATAATTTAAGTCAATGATACAATAATTCAATAAAAGTTTAAATTAGGTACCATCCTTTGTCTTTCTGCTAAAATTTTGATTCCACACACAACATTCAATCAACACTACCTATATTCAATACTCAACAGTTTTTTTGTTAGTTAGCCAGTTACACCAGCAGGTACTGAGGTCCCATACGGGAAGCTACTCAGCTATAGTTGTTTTTGAGCCAATATCTCTAGATTGATCACTTCAATTTGTTTGCTAGGATATTCGCTCGTCAGGGTAGGAAAATGTTAGTAGATTCAACAAGGTCCTAATGCACGATCGGAATACCCAAAATCACAATACCAGCACAAAAGACAGCACATAATTTTTCTAGGCTTTAGCTTATTCTTTGATCGCTCCTTGACACACAAACTAATCACAAATTGGATTGAACAATCAGTTTAATACAAAATAAAAATAAAAATTGAATATTGAACAATGGCAGACAAGTGTCTTAAGAAACCTGCCCAGCTTCTTCTTTCCAGTCTAATCGCTTATTCTCTTTTCTACCCTTCGGTAACTTCGCTTTTTCGGGGCGGCGCGGCGCGGCGTCCTCGTTCTCCTCTAAACCTAAACTTCACGGCGCATTACATGGTTGTTACATTTACCTTTATTCAGTAAACGTTTTTTCAAAAAGTTAAGATTTGAAGAAATAATATTTTAAATAGGTGGTTCTCCTCATCTGATATAAATTTGTCTAGATCCGTCAATGGGTTGCAGTACATCTTCGAGTCGTCCGCAAAGGACTGACTATTAGTTTGAAATTCCAAGGATCTGCAATATAACACTTAAACAGAAGCGGGCAGGGAGTGACCCTTGGACAACTCCACTATGAATTGACTTTCGCTCTGATAGCTGGTAAGACTGGATCTTACCCTACAGGTTCTGGGAGTTATGAGTTTTTTCGATAAATGATAAGATTTTGCCTCTGATGCCCACAAAGTGAACTGAATTTGTTTGTTATTTGGTGGTTCCAATTTACTACCCTTCTTATCAATTGGTATGACATGTGCTGCCCTTCCCGGGCAGTCAAGAATAGGGGGCGTGGGACGTCACAACAGGAGCGAGACCTGGGGGCGTAGGAGAGGTTCAGGTAGAGAGAACCTCACTTGGTATAGGTACAATAAGATATGTATTGATAAAATAAAATACTATTACCCTATAATTAATAGAATGTCTCTTCTACGGAGGGACGTACTACTTAGGCCACTCTGTAGACTGTACACTTTGTACACTTGGCATGACTGAAGACTGAAGCTGGGTTTGAGACAGGCCCAGTAGGGCGTTTCCCAATAAAGGTAGTTCGCACTGGATCTAGTCTGCTGCGTTCAATAATCCCAGAAGGGCCTTTCCCAATAAAGGTAGTTTGCATTGGGAGGAGACTTAGCTAGAGGAGTTTTTCCCAATTGAGGTAATTGGCACTAGCCCTAGTCTGCCGGTAATGGATCTCGGTGCTGTATTTATATCAAATTAATGCTGACTCGTCGACAAACTTTGATAAAATTGATGTACAGAGTGGTATTTTAGCGAAATATTAACAAACAATACAATAAACATCAAATAATTATTGAAGTAATTTAATAATATTTCAACTTGTATGCATTGGTGCAACCCATCCATATCTACAGCGTCAAGGTTAAATAAACCCTATATACATTGGTGTGGATTATTCTAGAATTGTATCAGTATCAAACTATTAAATAACCCTGGTCTATTTATTTTTTTTTTCAGGAATTGGTTGCCAGTTCTCCAAGTGAAAGAAACTGGCGTGGTATATTTATCGCACTTCTGGTTATAGCGGCCGTTTTGGGACTGATCGTTTTTAGTATAGTGTTAGTTTCGCCGCCAGAAGAACCTCCTAGAATCAAAGGGATAAAGCCGAGCCTAGAAGATATTTTTATAAAATTACCTCCGGCGGCCAGATTCAATGGAACTTGGATATCAGGTAATAATTAGTGCTAGACGGGATTTGAAGAAAATATTTTAGATATAAAGAGAATAAATAAAGCTGCCTACATTATGTATTTCCTTTGATGTGATGTTGAAATATTTTATCCAAAAGATATAAACGAAAGTATTTGATGTTACCATAAATTACGTTACCTATACTATACATATTTCCATATCTTCAGAAAATGTATTTTCTTATATTGAAATATAGGGGAAAAGCAACGGAAAATTGAGCCAATGTTTTTTTTTTACGTTTCAGCCCCTCGTTTCAAATATTCATAGCAAAAAACCATTATATTTGTAAAGAATACCGCACTCAAATTTGCCAATATGGCAAGAATTCCAACGATAATAAATTTAGATTATATTGATACAACACGCTTTTGAAAATTATCCCTTATTCTAAAAAAAAAACATTTCTATGCTGATATATCTATCCGCTATGTGACCTGGTTCGAAAGAGTTTTAAGTGGCACTTGGACTCTTTTGCAAAAGTGTCCTTAATGTTTCGTTTCTTTCGCAACGAACTATAATAATGAATAGCTAAGCCAAAAAAGTTTTAAGCGTTACAAAAATGAATGGATCATTAACGAGGAATAGGGTTAACAGTTTTCATTCATCAAAATTCATTTAGAGTCATAAGGATTGAAGGAACTATTTTTGCAAACATCGCGGAAAATGATAAAGGATTAAAACTTCTTAGCCTTAATCGCTCTGTGAAAAAGTATAGAGAAGTTCTGTATCAAATTAGGAGTGGGTATTCCAAATTGTGTTTCCATGATAATTATCGAATTTAAATTATATTCGATGGAAATCGATAACCACCAATTGGAATACATAATGCCTTGCTTATAGTTTAATTTATTCTATGGAAATCGTTAGTTATCGGTTTTCCCTTTGCTGCAAGAATTGCATCAATTATTCATTGATTTATAGCTTTATAATTCAAATTCACCATAATTATTTCTATATCGATATGCAGCGAATCAAGAAAATAGGGTCACATCACCATAATTTTGTTAGCTTTTTTCTTGAGAAATTCCTTCACGGGTTTCTCATTGATGTAAATTAGGGTGAGTTTTGGGACAGGTGAGTGGAGAAAGCACTAGATGCAGATTTTGTCGACTTTATAGCCAAAAAAAAAAAGAAAGACATAATTATTGTCTGCCCAGCAACTCTATGTCTACGGGGCAACGGTAAGGGGAATGCAGTTGTAAAAAAAATGGCTGATTTCATTCATAAAATACCCAGCTGCGTGCGGAACTTTTTGGAAGTGTTATCGTATTGCAACTCGTACACGAAAATCGACAATGACAAAACCGCCGCCACTGGATATTTCAATATAAATCGATATTCCAAGATGGGAGGGTAAAATGACAAGAGCCCTGGCCAATAGAGAGACGTAAGGTGACGTTAGTCCACTGACAACCGCATGGTTCCCGTGGCAACGGCGATCGTGCCAAAAATTCCACCAATCAGGATCATTCAGACCGGATCCTTGTCAAATTGTCAAAAGCTAATGGATTCTTTAGGAAATGTTTATTTTTTACAATAGACAAAATTGAAGAAATCAGTTATCAAAATAAGCATAGATCTAACAACCACGTTGAAATATTGAGCGTTTTATTGTTATCTACATTTTGTTATTAAAAAATGGATTTTCAACTGAACTATAAGTATATACTTCATGCCTGGTATTTTCGTTTTTTTTATAATTAAACGTGGCAACATCGCACATTTACGTCCGAATTCCTTCCGTAGACTCAGAACCGCTGGGCAAACAATAACATAATAGGTCTGTTCGCATAGAAATCACAAACCAGTCAGAGTGAATTTCATTGGTTGAAAACCTTAATGTTTGAAACCAAGGTTGTTTGAAAGAGGTAGGTTGGCTGATAACTTTTATGACGTCATCTACATGCCTAAAATAATGCAAATCTCCATTAGATCTTCCAGATGGGGGATTCTCATCCTCTAGTCGCAACCTATCGTCTCGACTATTCCATGGCCTTTCTACAAGTGAGCCGGGAAGATAAGTTGCGACTAGAGGATGAGAATCCCCCCTCTGATGACGTCATCTGTTTACCATTACCAGACAACCTATTAACATTAGAAACCTTGGGTTGAAATTCGTTTTCTGACTGTTTCTGACTTGCTGAATATTTTCAACCAATGAAATTCGTGCTGACTGGTTTGTGATTGCTGCAGAAACAGACCTATTATGCTGCGTTTTCTTCTTAGCAGCGTGGAATAAAGAGAGATAAAAAAGGTAGTAAGCATTAAAAAGAATACTCTGGGAAATGATGGCGTAAATGACGTAAATGGCAAATGTAGAAATGTCGTTAGTTATTGACGGACAATTTTTCGTAATTTTTTTTAAAGAAAAACTTAATTATGATCGGATCCGAATCGCTGTACGTTTGCTGTACAAAATTAAATGCTGGACAGACTTTGAAAATGCTGTACAATACAGCGAAATGCTGTACGTATGGTCACCCTAATGTAAATAAGGTCTTTTTTAAAAACCAGAGTGCATCTATTGCTTTTCTGAGCCAATCACAGATAGATGGTATTGTGAACAGAAATATGAAGTGTTGAAATATTGAAAAACAACAAAAAAAACTCCTCGCAGTTCGCGAATTTTATTTTCACTGGACGGGATGACCGTTTACTCTTCGACTTTCGCTAGACTATCTCGGACTGATCTGGAATCTGGACTGATGATTGCCTCTTGTTTTATCTAACTGATTGTTTAACCAGTTTTTGGTCCCACCAATAATTCGTGTGACTTTGATACGCTTAAGTCCTCTCCTGCTATTTCTAAGAAATATAATTATTTGTTCAACCGAAGATGTCGCAATTTCCTTGATTATCAGGGTCAACGGATATCGTAAAAATGAGTCTAGAGGTATCAAAGGATGCCAAACTCGTGTCGGCCATAAATAATGTTTTTTTTTTTTTTTTAAGAAATTGTCAGTTGGCCCCTACAATTTGATTACTTAAGCCTTTCTTTTAATATTTTTCCGTTGCCTGATTTATGGGTTCATTTTCAGGTTCGGGAACCTGGCGATATCATAAGACTGGCAATTTTATCCTCAGGAAAAAAATGTCTTTTCGATTATTAAAAAATCTACAGAGTGTTCCATTTATTCTCTGATCAGTACCCACGAATATTTTGAGCCTAAGTGCTTCATAAGCCGAAATATTCTTAGTATAAGTTCACATGGATAATGTGAAATTATAATAAATATTGACTTCTGGGTCTTCTGACATTTCCTCATAAACTTAAAAACTCACTGAAATACCTACTAATTTAAATATAATAAATGCCTTAATTTAGGCCTTTTGATAAATAAAAGGGTGAAATTTTATTTCATTCAAGAAGGCACTGAAAGTAAACAGGATATAAGTCACTTATTCAGACACTGTCCTTTTCTCACTTATAAGTTTTTAAAGCGCATTAATCAAAATTTTTCTAGAATAAAAGGGCCAAGCTTGGCATTATTTGTGGATTGCTATTGGATAATTTATTTGGGTCAAATGTCAGTTTCAAGCCCTGCCTTCAGGGTTTCTAAAATAAATGATAATTTGGAAGGGATTTGAACTTTTTTACCGAGACAAGAGGGATTTGTAAAATATAGTTTTTCCTTCTTTGTTTCAGATAACGAATTTATTTTTAAAGATATTTACGGTGGAATATCTTTATTCAACGCAGATAACCTGACTACAAGTATTATTATGACAAATATAACATTGGTAAGAGCGATTTGGAGTTGAAAAATTTAATTATTTACTTATTCACATTTTTTTTAGAGACAATATGAAGTTGTTGATTTTAAAGTTTCGAATGATCTAAAATTTGTTTTACTTATAAGCGATGTAGTTAAAGTTTACGAATATACAACGTTGGCCAAATATCATATTTATGAATTATCTACCAGGTGAGTAGTAATAATCATAAGTACCTACATCCACGCTCATACATATATGTTTTTTTTTTAGGGTAAGAAGACCACTATCGCCAAAAGAACTTGACGAAAACGCACCATATTTACAATACGCGACATGGTCGCGCGATGGCACAGCTATAGCCTTTGTCTACAACAACGACATTTACTACAAACCGAAAGTTGAAAAAGATTTAGTTTGTCGCATCACTAACACCGGCCAAAGCAATTTGATATTCAACGGCGTACCTGATTGGCTATACGAAAACGAAATTCTACGCTCGTCGCACGCCTTGTGGTTCTCACCGGATAATTATTATCTACTTTACATCAGTTTCAATGATACAAATGTTGGTGAATACTCTTATGCTTGGTACGATAGCAAAAATTCGAATGCTATTTATCCGGAAGTTAGGAGTTTCCGATATCCTAGGGTGAGGTTTGTATTTTAACACAGATAAATGGAACTTTGGTTTACGAACTGTAGGTTCACTTGATCTGGTTAGCCTACGGCGGCTCTCTGGTTCAGAATTTATTCGATATTCTGCAGAGGTTGCCTTTAACTTGATCTGGAATGTGCTAAATAAGTGGACTGTAGGTTTAGGAATGAGAAAAAAAGGCTGGTCTGAACTTAACAACAGATTTAATTGAAATAAAACCCACTCAGGGTATGAAAATTGAAGAACGGCTGGGGGTTGATGAATTATTACGCTCTGTAACTGAAAACGGGCGTACTTGCACTTTCGAGTCTCTCTCCGTACTGCCTGCATGCAAATCTTAGCCTAGCTTAATCTAACCTAGAATACGTCGGTATCAGTCAAACTGAAAAAACATAGCTGATACAGATTTATTCCAGGGGTTAGGGAGCTAATTTTACAACTGCACGTTTGATAATTCCCGAGGAAGTCTTAACTGAGGCAACGCGCACTGTACCGTCCTGTCCCGGAAGAATTTCGCACACCCGTCCCAAACGCCACTTGAAGGAAGGTATATCGTTATCATGGATTAACACTAAATCATTTACTGCAAGATTTCGAGTTTGTGTTTTCCACTTTTGTCTTTGTTGTAGTTCGTGTACATACTCAGAAGACCACCTTTTCCAAAATTGCTGTTTCAGCTTCACTATGCTTTCAAAAAGGGTGAGTCTATTGGTTGGGGTGTCCGTTAGACCAGCCGTTCAAAATACATTCTTTTTGTGTTATAATGGTACAAAAACTTTCAAAGATAAACACTGTCGGAGAATCTGTCAGGACTTTGTACAAATGCGATTTTGTAGATTTAATGCCTGCCTCCCAAATTCCTCCTTGATGAGGGGAGTATGACGCAATAAAATGCCATTTTATGTCCAAGTCATCACCATGATTTATGATGATATCATCTGGATTTTAAAAACTGACCTAACTCCTTGAGTTTATTATTTGCACCAATGAAGTTGCTGCCGTTGTCGGAGTATACGTTAGATGGCCGTCCTCTACGCGCTATGAACCTATTAAACGCTTCAAGAAATGCAGCAGTGCTCATGTCAGTCACCATCTCTAGGTGAACAGCCTTTACCGATAAACAAATAAACAGACTCAGGTAGCACTTGAATGTTCGACCTCCACGACCTTTCCTATCCTTGTAAAGAAAGGGACCCGCATAATCTACCCCTACGTCAGAAAATGCGAAAGTGGGATATACTCTTGGTTCCGGTGAATCACCGATCATAGGATGAACAAATTTAGGTTTGTATTTGAAAAAAACAATGCATTCGCGAATGACACGTTTGGCAAGGTTCTTTGCAGATGTGGGCCAATAGTTTTCGCGGATGTCAGAAATAAGCAATTGCGAACCGCAATGAAAAGCTTCACAATGTTCATATCTAAAAAGTAACAGAGATAAATGATGTTTAGACGAAAACAATGCTGGATGTTTTTTATTAAAGGTGAACGGTGAGTGCCTGACTCTTCCCCCAACTCTAATGATGTTGTCCTTGAAAAATGGAGCGAGGCTCAGAATGGTACTTTTCTTACTAACACACTCAGAACTAGCGAGATTTTTGTAATCTTCTGGAAATGATTTCTGTTGCGATAAAGACACCAACTGATTACTTGCATTCCTTAGTTCTTCTATAGAAAGAATATCATCATAACATCTATCTTCCTGGCGACAATGACAATTCTAAATGAATCGTAAGCAGTATGCCATGATTTTTCTCAATTTTGAAAAGAAAATCTTTTAAAGGGAAATATCTCAGTTTTAACTAAATATTTCACTTGAGACAAAAGAATGAATATTTTTTCGAACCTCTGGTAATTCTTCGATTTTTATACGTGTTGAAAATGTGACGTCTACTGACCAATTTGATTGTGATTTACTTAGGGCCGATACTTTTGCTCTCGATTAAAGAATTTGATACGTTGTCAAAGTTTTGCATGGGCTACGGTCTATATAAGTATGATGTGGTTAGAGTACATTCAAAGCCCTGATTATTTTTAACGGCTGTCAAATGAGAGCAAAAGTACCGGCACTTAACCAATCGGGTCCAGAGAACCAAAACCTGGATTGAATAAAATTTACAGGTGACGTGCCTCTTGACAGCAAGTCCGCTGGATTTTGCTCAGTTGGAACGTATCTCCACAACTGACGAGACCTTTTGAATATCGGTAACACGATTCCCCACAAAGACCTGAAAATTGTGCGGAGAAGATCGAATCCAACAGAGTGCCACTGTCCAATCGCTCGAGAAAAATACATCATCAAATTTGAGGGTTAAGATGATATGACTTTGCTGTAGAGTTGTGATAGAAGGTGAGCTGCACAAAGCTCAAGTTTGGGAATGCGGGGCTACACGGGTTTTAGGAGTGAGCAACTGAACATGTATATTTTGAAACATATCTATGATTCTAATGCAGATGCATGCACCATAGGCGCTCTGCGACGCATCGGAAAACCCGTGCAGTTCCACTGGAACGATATTTTTGCACGTTACTTGTCGAGGAATTTGCAACCTGTTAAGTTCTGGAAGTTCTGATCTGAATGACTTCCACTTAGTTGCACGCTCTTTAGGAACCTCTACGTCCCAAGGAAGATTCAAAGCCCAAAGCTTCTGGAGAAACATTTTTGCTCTGACAGCGACAGGACTGATTAGTCCAAGAGCATCATAAATTTTTGCTGTTTCCGAAAGAATTACTCTCTTGGTAATAATCCTTGTATTTGGAGGATCGCCAATAAAAAATGAAAAGGTGTCATGCTCACTGGACCATAGCATGCCTAGCGTTTTACTGGTACTAGTGGGACCAAAATAGAAGTTATCAGTTGAAGAGCATTCAGATTTAATAGCCTCCAAAACTTCTGACGAATTTCCAGTTTCTCAGTTCCGTGCCCGCACTAGCCAAGATTGAACTAACTTTATTTGCAAGAGTGACTGCTTCCTCTACAGACGATGCACCTGTGAGAAAGCCATCTACATATAAATCCGTCTTTATTACCTCTGAAGCATGAGGATTGAGATGCTGATGATCAAAGGAAAGTTGCAGTAAATATCTCGTAGCCAGAAATGATGCACTGTCTGTGCCATAAACTACAGTGTCTAGTGAAAGGATTTGCAATTCTTGCTCATGACTATGTCGAACGCCAAATAACAAGCTGCAAAGGTTTGAATTCATCAGCAACAAGGATTTGCCTATACATTTTACAAATGTCGGCGGAAACAACATATGAGTGCTGCCTGAACCGAAGAAGGATTGAAAAAAGGCTTTCCTGTACAGTCGGACCGACCAGCAATGAATTGTATGATTTGCCGGTTGACGATGGAAATGAACTATTAAAAACTACCCTGAGCTTTGTGGTCACGCTTTCCTCATGAAGCACATCGTGATGTGGTGATAAGTATGTTACTTGATCATTGGTGGGAGTGTACGGAGACATGTGTTGCAAGCTCACTTATTCCCGCACAAATGAAGTGTACGTCTCTTTGAATGCTGGTTTGGAAGAAAGTTTTTTCTCCAGAGGGAAAAACTGGTTTGTTGCCCCTTGTTTGGAATCACCTAATTTGGAAGGAGAGTCCTTTAAAGGTATGGACACAATAAATCTACCCTCTTTGTTACGACAAAATATTATTTGAAAATGCTCCTCGGCCGCGTTAACTGCGACTGAATTTCTGAATTCTTGAAGAAATGACATACTGTAGAGTCGGACTCATTCTGGGCAAAACCTCCGGAAATAAGCCAACCAAGTTTGCTGTTCTGCAATATTGGTTTGTCTTCACCAAGCGGCCTTGTACCCTTGGAGATAAGCGTCCAGAACAGGCTTGCACCAATCAAAAAGTCAATATTGCTGGATTTGAAAAATGTAGGATTGGCAAGTTGAATGTCTGAAGATATATTTAGAAACTTAGGAGTCATAGATACTGAAGGAAGCTTTTCTGTAATTTTTGGTAAGATTTGGCAATAAAGATTAGCGTTGAAGTTACTATTTCTGGACCTTATGTGAATGTCACAAGATTTTCTTACACGAGCCTGGGTCTCCTCAATACCACTAACTGAAACATTCACAGAGTGTTGGGGTAATCCCAGCTTTTTTGAAAATTCCTGAGATATGAAATTGGACATCGATTCGCTGCCTAACAATGCTCTGCAAACATGAAAATGACCTTCCACATCCTCAACTTCAACCAAGACTGTTGCAAGCAAAATCTGAACCTGATTAGACTGATTGCACATTGTAGTCTGATGTGAAGTAGAAGCATACTCTTCATCTGTGGAGTTTTCACATTGAGTTGAAATTGCCGCGCTTGTGATTTTTTCTGGATGCAGAATAGAGTTGTGCTTTTCTTTGCAATGCTTACATTCCCCATACTTACACTTACTCGCATCGTGACCTTTGTGGAGACAATTAAAATAAAGCTTAAGAAGATTCACCTATTCCTTCTTACTATTTAAGGGTAAATTCTTGACAATTTTATATAGCATGAGGCTTACATTCCTATCAATAAAGGCAAAGAAAAATGTTTATCGGCAATAGTTACTAATAAATTTTCTTGCTACTACTGTAAAAAACCTCTGCAGAGTATCGAATAAATTCTGAACCAGAGAGCCGCCGTAGGCTAACCAGATCAAGTGAACCTACATTTTTTGGTCCTTCGAGCCGGATCCTCTTTTTTTCCAAACTTTGTCGAGGGTGGCGTTGCTAGCAGTCCATCAGGAATTTATGCAGTTTCGACGTTGCCACTGTATCGACCAAATGAAAGAAAATAATATTTTCCTTGAGTGAATTCGAAACACGAACATCCATGGCTTCATGCGGATATAAAAATTTCCTTCCATGTTATAGATACCTTGGGATTTTATGATCCTTCAACTAAGTAGTTCGTGAACCACGAACAAAACTTTTTGTTAAATGGTAAATCAAATACTTTTGGTGCCGCTAGTTGCCTTTATCTCATGCAAAAATATCTAATCAAAGATCTGAAAGTACAGTTCAAACTGTCTTTCTATAAAAACACATCTTCATAGGCATTCGGCAGCGTCATCATCTGTGGGTTCGTTGACAGCTAAATAAGCCTATTCTAGACTTCCATATTCATTGTATAGCCAGTCAGTAAAAGCAGATGATTGTTGCGGACTACGATTCTGTTTGCCCCCGTTTGTCTACAACTATTCCGGCACAGGGTCAACTTCCACCTGAGGAATTCTTCTCTCAGCAAGTATAGCACAATCGTCACCGTATAGTCGTTTCCTCAGTCTTTGATAGGTGAGAAAAAAAGCGTATTACACATCGCTTCGCCTGTCTTAAATAATTTCAACAAGCATCAACCCCTGACCTTCCTGGTCCTGCATATTCTCTTTTCAGAGTTGATTCTTCACAGGTTTTCTTTTTTCATTGTTCCAAGTCTATACGACTTATTGTCCCCATGCAGCACTGAACCCTGAGAAGGCTTATTGTACTTAGCCAGTATATTTGTGCCTTGTTCGAGGTTGTACAGGTCTTTTACTGAGTGGTGTTTCCACCACACCAGGGAGGCGTATATCAAGATAGGTTTGACCATTATGTTGTATGTCCAATACAGCATGTCCGGTTTTAAGCCCCATAATTTTCCATGCAAGCGTCTGGCTATCATGAGTGATGTTACCGTTTTTTGGTGGTGTTTTCCAGATATTGATTCCAGGTAAGTTTTGGGCCAGTGTTACCCCAAATACTTGACCTCGCTCGAAATCTGTATATTTTCACCCCTTAATTTAAGAGGTCCCATGTCTTGTATTTTATGCCTTCGGGTAAATGTCACGATGGTGGATTTGTTGAGAATAATGTTTAGCCATTCTCTATCCACCCATCTTGTTGTTCGGTATAAAGCATCTTGCATTCGCTCCCTAACTGTAGAGTTGAATTTACCCCGTGAGATGATGACTATGCCGTCAGCATATTCGAGGGTACGGTGTCCTCTGTCAGTGACCACCTTAAGCAGGCCGTCCGCCACTAGATTCCACAGGAGTGGGAATAATACCCTGCGCTGTGGGAATCCCCTGTACATCCCAGCCGCCAGTGTCTCCTCCGCGATGGGGGTTTCTACCATTCTTTCTCTTAGCATGGAGTTGATCCACACACAGCAGGTGTCCTCAACTCCTTTGTGCTTGAGAGATCTGGTTATTGAATCGAAGGAAGTGTTGTCAAAAGCTCCCTCTATATCCAAGAAGGAACCCAGCATCACCTCTTTGTTTACCAGTGTGTTCTCCACTATGCTGGCCAGCTGGTGAAGCGCTGTTTCTGTTGACATTCCTGTCCGATACGCATATTGGTCTGAATGTAGTGGTTTGTTTGCCAAAACACCGTCCCTAATGTGCCTATCTAAAAGTTTTTTCAGTGTCTTAAGCTCAAATGATGACTAATGGGTCTTAAGGATTTTGCTGTGTCCTGTTTTATTTTTCCAGGTTTTGGTCTGAACGATACCCTAATGCGCCTCCAGGCCTTTGGTATAGCCTAAGGCTAGGCTACTTCTTAGAATGTTACATAGTTTCCTGTTTGCAAGTTCAGTTCCGTTCTGTAACGTTATGGGATAGATCCCATCTGTCCCTGTTGACTTATAGGTATGGGTAAGAGGTGTTTATAGCCCATTTGACTTTTTCACAGTTGACTACTTTCTTCGAGGTAAGCCAGTCGTTCCTGGATGCTCTTCGAAGTCTAGTCTTATTCCATGTCCACTGATCAACCATATTTGAGCAGGAAAAGAGGGTTTTTATAGGAGTTCCTTAGCCGTCTCTTCCTCCGTCTTTCTGTATTCACCAAGGTTGTTCATGAGTGATTTGATTGTTGTCTTCGGGCCCTTTGACAGAGTTCTTTGAAGTCCAGGACAATCTTGAGTACTTTCTATATCCTCAGTAATTCCTCCAAGACCTCCTCTTCTTCAGATGTTACTGGACAGACAAGGATAAAAGTTGCTGCAAGATCAGAAAAAAAAATGTTCAGAAGTTACTAGACAGACATTTTTTCTGATCATTGCGGCAACTTTTATCCTTTTATCAGATCAGGCCGGAGTAACACTTGCTTTTGCAAAAGGGGCTTGTCGTGGCGCCCCCTGTTCACTTACAGAAATCTACAGAGGAATGCAATTCTATCAAAGCATACAGCGCCGTTTTATTCTATTCTCAGTCTAGATCACAACGCTCGGCCACACGGAAAACAAAGTTATAAGTCTCGTTTACCGTCTAAGGCCTGGTTGTACAAAAAATGGTTCAACACAAGTTCTGTTGGACTGCAGTTCACTGTCGAACGTGGTTCAGAGTTTCGAGTGCTGTACCACTGCAGGTTCACCTGAACTTACAGTTGCAATGCCCACAATAAAAAGAAGGAAGAAAATAGGCACATCCTAACCCATAACCTATCAAAGGTATTGTTTATTTGTTGTGTGTTTTCCTGTTTTCCATTTATTTTCATGTTTTTGTTACACACGCAGGACACAACAGATCACAGATATGCAAAAGTTCATTCATGATAAATCTCACAGCTTGTTTTTCCAACCCCAATATGTCCTTGAATTATTCTTTATCATTCCAAATATTCAATTGATCTGGTCGATTTCTGAATACCTGTGGGGCTCGAGGGTGTGCAACATTATTAAGTAATTTTTAAAAAATCTTCGTCCTCTGTAATCCCACAGATCCCATCAAGATCCATTTTTAATTAAACATAAATACTGAACATCAACTTGAAACAAAATATATATTCCAAAGCCAAGGTGATCCCTCATCAGAAAGTAAACAAAACAAGGAGAGTGAGGTTACAATAATCCAAAAAAGAGTTGAACTTCCCTTGAACGCCGAAATTGGGAGGTTCAAGATCAACCTCAGTTCACAGTCTGAACCGACCATGTACAACGAGTTTTTTCCTTTGAACCACTAGTCAGTGTGAACTTCGGTTGAACTTCCGTTGTACAACTGGGCCTAACACGGTCAACCGACGATGTCGCAATTTCCTTGATTATCGGGGTCAACGGATATCATAAAAATATGAGGCCACATGTATCAAAGAATGCCGAACTCGTGTCGGCCATAAATAATAAAAAAAATTTATGAATCTGTCACTTGACCCCCTCGATTTAGTTACTTTAGACTTGCTTTTAATATTTTTCCGTTGCCTAATTTCTGGGCTTATTTTCAGGTAATTCTTTAATTATTGATTAATTCAATTTTGAACTCTATGCCCATTTACTTTCTATTTTTTTTTTTCTTTTTTTTTCATAAGCGAGTTATATGCTGTCTATAAATATACAGAGCAACCCTGTACAAGGCATGTCGAAGGGCAACCTTAAGCTTTTTTATTTTCAAACTGATACTCTTCCATGTATTTGCTGGCTTCTTCCTTCTCCTTATCGATATCTATCTCAGATTCCTCTTTTCCAAAGGCTTAAAAAGATGTTGTTAACATAACAAAGCATATTTTATGAATAGTTATCATCTATCTGTGTTAATTTTGCATTTTTCTTTTAAATTTTCAATATCTAATTGATGATTCTTTTAGGTTGAGACCCCAAATCCAATAGTCAACGTCTGGATTGTAAACCTAACAATGCCAAAGTTCCTTTTTCCGTTTGAACTAAAACCTACTAATAGTGTAGAACCGGATAGTTACGTAACTAGTGTTAAATTTCATGGAGAAAATAGTGTGGATATTATATGGTTAAACAGGGCGCACAATACGTTTGTAATTGTCACTTGCAAAAATCAGAACTCTTATAATTGTACTGATGTAAAGAATATTTCATTTATGATTGGCTGATCAAATAATTGTTGTTATTTTAGTTTCATGTAGAAAAAGAACACGAGCACATCGGATGGACTGAACCCGTTTTCTATCCAGTTTTTAATGAAAACGGTACAAAAGCCTTAGTTAGACTTCCAGTGAAAGATGGCGATAATGGACATTACATGCACGTGTGTGAAATTTATAAAGGACGAGTACGCCCTTTGACTCATGGTGCTTTTGAGATTATAAAAATACTAGCATGGGATGAAGAATTTTCATTCATGTAAGCATAAGTTTAGTATTTGTTCTTTGATATTTATTTATTTTTTATTTTATTCTAGATATGCCCTTGGAACAATAGAACAAATGCCAGGCGTACGTCATTTATTAAAAATAACTGACCGAAACTCACTTCCGGATTGGGAGTGCCTAACCTGTATGTCTAAAATAGATAAAAACCGTACTGAACTATTAAATTTCAACGAAACCGTGCTAAATGAAAACTTGTGGCTAAACTATCGATGTGATTATAACAAGATAATTTTTAGTAAAAACTTCAGTTACTTCATACAGGAATGCTTGGGACCAGAAGTACCTATTGTTATCTTAGCACGAACATTCCCATATTGTAGAATATTGATACTTGATAGTAGTGCTAAATTAAGGCGACGAGTGAAAAGAATTTCACCTCCTCAAGAGAAATGTATTTCGGTTGAAATTGAATTTGGTTATAAAGCTCAAGTTAGATTATATTTACCGGCGATTTTGAGGGAATATGAAGATACGACGTTTCCTTTGGTACTTTTAGTGTAAGTAGATATTCATAGGTAATTAGAACAAATTAAATGTCAAGATGTTTTGATATTTTTAGGGACGCATCACCTTCCTCTCAAACAGTATCATCGAAATGGGAAGTATCCTGGCCATGGTATCTATCAAGCACGCGAAGCTACATCGTAGCCAAAATCGACGCAAGAGGTTCTGGTTTTCAAGGTGTCAGAATGCGAAGAGAAATACAAAGAAGAATAGGGCTGATTGAAGTGCAAGACCAATTAGCCGTGCTCACATACCTGCGTGACACATTCAAATACATTGACAGGGAAAAGATTTGCGTTATCGGGAAAGGTTATGGAGGTTATGTTTCCGCTATGATGCTGTTGCAAGATTTCCATCAAGTGATTAATTGTTCTGTTAGTGTGTCTCCTATAACAAATTGGAGATATTATAGTAAGTATATTATAGAGATATAATCCATTCCTTAATATTAACTTGCTTCTTCTGTTTCAGATTCTTTTTATACAGAAAAGTACTTAGGTCTACCGTCCAAACATCCTCTAGAATATGATAATGCCGATTTAACTTTGAAAGCCGCCAACATGAACACCAGGAACTTTTACTTGATCTATGGAACTGCTGATACAAAAATAACTTCTCAGCATTCGGTTATGTTAGCTAAGACTTTAGTTGAACAGAATATTCTCTTCCGCCAACTTGTAAGTAGCTAATGTATTGTTATTTATACGGGTTCGCAGATAAGTGAGGCTAATTTTTCGAACTTTAACGAATTTTATTGAACACAATAACATAAAAATCACACGAAATTTAACACTACTTTACACTTCGAACTACTCCAAATAAAGATTATACGGCGACGGCGATTCAGTTCATCTTGAAAATAGTCGAATTTTCTGGCTTCTTCAACTGTAGTTACAGGGGGCAATCAAAAAGTACGAGTAGCGGGTTTAAAACACTGCCCCCTTCCTCAAAGCTGTTCGCCCCGAACAGCTTTTCCCAATCGCATCCAAGTCGGCGCGCTCTTGCCCTTGTATGGAGCCAGCCTCTCCATGTAAACGACCTTGGGCTTGGTTTTGGGTGTAAGTTATATCCTGTATACCAAGTCGTTGATTTTTTTAATGACCTTGTATGGTCCTTCCCATGGTCGTTGCAGTTTCGGACTAAGTCCTTTTCTTTGCTGTGGCTGATACAACCAGACAGCATCGCCTTCATTAAAGGTGTTCAGTGACTGCCGTTGATCGAGTCTCATCTTCATTCTGTCACTGGTCAGACGTAGTTTATTTCTGGCGAAATCGTGTACCACTCTTAGTCTGTCCTGGAGATCAGCCACGTAAACTAGGAGTACAGCCTCGTCTTCATCGACTGGAGGCCTGCCAAACATTGAATCTACTGGAAGCTTCATTTCTCTTCCAATCAACAGCATATATAGTGTATAGCCGGTGGACTGAGAGCTTCTATAAGCCAGAAGGAAAAGAGGAACTAGTTTATCCCAGTCTCGCTGTTGATCATCTACAAAAATCGAGAGGTATTGATTGATGGTCTGATTGTGCCTCTCGGCCATTCCGTCCGACTGTGGGTGGAATGCAGTCGTCCTCGTTTTTTTTACTCCCAGTAACCTCATCAGTTGTTTCCATACCTCGGACTCAAAATTCCTTCCCTGATCGGTATGAAGTTTCATCGCTACCCCATGTCTGGATATGACGTTTTCCAGCGATAATTCCGCAACAATAACTGCTTCCTGATTGGGTATGGGAACTACTTCTGGCCATTTTGAAAAATAGTTCATAGCAACCATGAGGTACTTATTACCTGACTCCATCGTGGGAAAAGGACCTGCAATATCCACGGCAATTCTCTTCCTAGGGGAACCGTACAAGTACTGCTTCATTTCTCCATGGGATCGCGTCTTGGGTCCTTTCTTAGAAGCACAGAGAATAGAGATAGCATCTCTTGCACCACTCTTCAACATCCCTACGACAGTTGATCTAATAGTACCTGTCTCTTACTCGAGCCAAGGTCCTATTGACTCCAAAGTGTCCGCCACTCATACTACTGTGCAGTTCTTGAAGCACTCTGTCCACCATGGTCCGTGGCACAACGGTCTGATATTCTAGGTTTTTTCCATCTGGACTCTCCCATTTACGAGTGATCAAGTCATCTCGCAGGCACAACGAGTCCCATTGCAGCCAGTATCTCTTCACCGTTTGACTCAAACTGGAAATTTCTTGCCATTCAGGTCGTTGTCCGTCTTGTAGCCAGCCATGCACCATTTTCAATTCCTTATCCATATTTTGTTGTTCTTCAAAGGGTCCTCTCGTAATGTCCTCATCAGTATTAGCGTCGTTGTCAGAATTCTTAAGCCTTATTTGTTGAACGACTCCAGAATTTTTGGTTGCCTCCTTTTCCTCTTGCCTTTGGCAGAATTTGCATGAGCTGTCAATACATGGTCCTCGTGATAGGCTGTCGGCTCTGGCATGACTCCTTCCTTTGTGATGTTTGATTTGGAAGTCATAACTTTGTGATTTCTCTAACCAACGCGCTATTTGACCCTCCGGATTTTTAAAATTGAGCAGCCATTGCAATGCAGAATGGTCGGTCCTAACTAGGAACTTCCGGCCATAGAGAAAGCTGTGGTAATTACTACTGCCAGACGCTCCTTCCGGGTGACACAATAATTCTTTTCTGCCTTTCCAATGGACTTACTGAAGTATCCAATTACTACTTTTTCGCCGTTCTGAATTGGGGAAAGAACAGCCCCTATTGTTGTGTAAACTAAGACTCAAAAGGACATAATTTCAATAACAACAGCTTGTGCGCCGTTTCAAATTCAAATAGACAATATTACGCGCGGAACGCGACCTTCTTTCTTGCAGCCAATCAAAAAGGCAGCAGTATTCGCTAACGATTATTGCCGAGAGACGTCGCACCGGTAGCCAAGGACAAGACGATCGGAGCGGCCGATTATGACAGGAGAAGAACGAACGGCAAGACAAGCTTCGAGCGCCGCCATTATTATTATTCTTCGCATTTTTTCTGTTTTTACCTATTTTTTTTTGTAGAGATCGCGAGTAAATTACCCAATTACTATTATCAATGTTCATTAAAAGTTAAAGTAAATTGAGTTAGTGCGTTTTTTACTTGCAAGAAACCCCCAAACAAGAAAATACAGTCCGCTAGTATCGAAGGAAAGACATTTTTTGGTCCTTCGAGCCGGATAGACTGTGAACCAGCGTGAAATTGGACAATTTTTTCGTAGACTTTGGACTTGTAGTACATTAAAACTGATTGCAGACGTGCAATTTTTGAGTGAAGTGATTGTTATTCAATGTCCTGATACCAGGTTTGAGATAAAAGCAAGTGGGTAAGTCCTGTTTTCCTGCATCCCTTGTTTTTAAGTAGATTCGATTGGGCAGCGTCCAAGCAATTGCAATTTTCAATTTGTGTTTTCTTTTTTTTATCATTGAAAAAAAAAAAATAATAACTTTATTTGAAAATGACTGAGGAAGCCCTTAAAAAATTGCGTAAATCTCGCAGTGTCAGTAAGGCTCAGAAAACTAATTTTGAAACAAAATTAACTGAATTAGAATCGAAAAAATCTTTAAGTGATGTTGAGTTGTGTGAGCTTTCTGACAGGGTTGTGAGGTTAGAAGAGATTTTCTCTAAATTTCAGGGTATTCAAGAGGAAATTGAGTTTGTTGAGGAAAATTTAGACCCTGAGTTAGCATACAGAATTGAATTTGAGGAATCGATTTTGCAATTAAAAGCTAGGGCTCAAGTTTTGATAAAAAAGCATAGTCCAGAGGGCAGTTTCAAGAGTGCTCGGCAGCCCAACAGCTCTTCTAGTAGTTCGAGTCAACATGGAGGTGAATTAAGCGGAGTTAGATTGCCTCTCATTCCTTTACCTAGCTTTTCGGGAGACTATAAATCGTGGCTAGAGTTTAGAGATATTTTTTCGAGTTTGGTGCAAAATAATGACAGCTTAGATTCGATTCAGAAATTTCACTACTTGCGAGGTTGTTTACAAGACTCTGCGGCTGAGGTAATAAAATCTTTGGATTTTTGTGCTGCAAATTATGATAACGCTTGGACAACCTTGTGCGATCGCTTCAATAACACGCGAATTTTAGTACACATGCACTTGAAAGCTCTATTTCAGCTAGACCCTATAGACCGAGAGTCTGCCGACAAGATTAGAAGTCTGATTGATATGGTTTCGAAAAGTTTAAATGCACTGAAATCCTTGAATCAAGAGACTGATCACTGGGGCGTTCTAATCATGTATTTAGTTAGTACTAAACTGGATAGGGCCACTGAGCGCGAATGGGAACAATTCAAGGGCAATAAGTCAACTGTTTTGGAGTGGAGGGATCTTAAGGATTTCTTAAAGACAAGGGCTGATTTTTTGGAAACCATCGAGCGTAAGAACACGCAGCCAAAAGAAATGAAATCTCAGTATCAATCGCGCCAAGATAGGTTTAAAGATAATAAAAATAACTTCAAAACTTTGGTTGGTAATCAGGTAAAGTGTCCACTTTGTTCATCAGAGCATAGTATTATTAATTGTGAAATTTTTTTGAAGCTTTCGGTTAATGACAGGTTTGAAAGGGCTAAAGAATTACGGCTTTGTTTATGTTGTTTGAGGCCAGGGCATTTCAGTAGGTTTTGTAGAGCTAGTGGGTGCACAAAATGTAGAGCTAAGCATCACGTGACTTTGCACATGGGGAGCAGTAAAATAAATGAGCAGAACACTCAGGGAGGAAATGACAACCAGCCACAATCAAGCCAGGATAGTGGGAAGACTGCGTTATCCCATTTATCTTCTAATTCAAATGATCATGTATTTTTATCAACAGTGATGGTAGAGGTGCAAGACTATAAAGGCGTATGGCACACAGCGCGCGCTCTGCTTGATTCTGGAAGTCAGTCATCATACATTACAACTCGGTTATGTGATATGCTTGGGTTAGAAAGAGAAAGATATAGTATCTTGGTGAGTGGATTAGGTCAAAATGCCTCTGAGGTGAAATTTAGATGTTCTGTGAAATTGCAGGCAGTTCAAAATGCCTATAAAACCGAATTGAAATGTTTGGTATTGCCACAAATTACTAGCTCTATTCCTAGCATACCAATTGATGTCAGTAGGCTTGATATTCCTAAAAATTTAGTTTTGGCTGATCCATCATTCAGTAAACCTGGTCAAATCGATTTATTGATTGGAAATGACTTATTCTACCAACTTCTTTGCATAGGCCAGATACATCTGGGCCCTCATAACCCTATATTGCAAAAGACCAAGTTTGGATGGGTGGTGTGTGGAGCCATAGAGTTTCAAAACTCTGGTTCGACGATTTGTTATTTGAGTATGAATGATCATGTGCGAAAGGATAGTGAATTTGATCTGAAGAAGTTCTGGGAAGTAGAGCAAGAATTTTCAAGTGAGAAAAAGGTGTGGTCTAGTGAGGAGAATGATTGTGAAGCCTATTTTCAGAAAACATTTCGTAGAGACGAAGAGGGTAGATTTATAGTATCTATGCCTTTCAAGGAGTCGCCAGAAAACTTGGGAGATTCAAAGAAGCAGGCATGGAGAAGATTTCTGAATTTGGAAAGGAAGTTTGAGTCTAATTTTAAGTTCAAAGAAAAATATTTAGAATTCATGCGAGAGTATGAGGAGCTTGGTCATATGACTGAAGCAACTGAA